ATTTCCTCCAAATACGACCCAAAGACGTACACGCCACATGTGACTGCCTTGTCTCATTCATGCCTACCATCGATGCAGCTCCCATGCTTCAGGCACTCAGCAATGGTTTACACCACTTCCTCCTCCATTTATCACGTGTGCCTTCTGTAATAGACGCGTTGTTGCCAGTCCCACTCCCCTTCAACATCGTCTCAACCCCACTTCAAACTGGCGCCTTCAATGAATGCCATCCTCACCAAGTCATATTTGAACCACCTCTACCACCACTCCCTCTTCCCTTCTACAACCCACACCCACTCACTTACTTCAAACCCAACTCCATTCCATCAAGGTCTCTTCCCCCCTTCCTCCTCTCCCCCACCCCCAATGCGCACTACACACGTTGCCATTCACACATTCCTCCAACAGTCTGCTCCCACTTGTGTCATCAGGCGTCACATACCACCTCCCTTCTCTTCCCTCATGTGCCGCACTGCATTACCACTATCACCATTCACTTACTCAAGCAATTCCGACTACAGTCGCTTCGAGGAGGTGATGAAGGTATTGGCGTAAAAGGAATGCCAACCATTAGTACATGGGCATCAACGTTTGCAATCATTTTCTCCCTTCCGTGCCCCTTTTTTCTCCAGTCCTCAGGTCGTCATAACACTGCAAGGACACACAACTACACAATGCCAATTGCTGCAATGCTGCTTCACTCCCTCACATCAACACCGCATCTTTCCACTCCCCATCCACTATGACCTCAACGCAGTACAACATCGTGCCTGCACTCACCTTCACCCATTCCATGCACCATTACTGCTCCGCTTTCAGTGCTCAACCTCCTATTTTCGCAGTGACTGCTGTGCTACCTACTACCGAGTCTCTGCACACTGCAGTCGCACCAATCAGTTACCCACACCAGTCTGCTGTCATTGGTTAACACTAACAAACAGTAGAAATGAGACGTACGCCACGAGACAGCAATGTAGTGGCTCTCTTCAAGGACAACCGGTGCCTTGTGGCAGAAGGAAGACATGTCGATGTCGCCTCCTCAACGACTCCCCATCGCCTACAATTTGGGTCAACTCAACTTTCTTACTTACTTACTTACTATATGCACAATGTGCGTTGTCGCAATCAAACTGACTCCTGAGTGGCATTTCGCGTACAAACTTGTCATGCACTCTCTTTACTCCCTTACCTTAATCGGTTCGCATAGGCAACATCACCAGGGCGAAGGCAAGAGGCATTGCAAGTGCCTGGCGACAGTCGCAGTGGCTAAGGCACAACAATGACTGGCATCACCATAACTCTGGTGATTGGCATATCCTCCATGAGCACCTTTCATGTAGGTTGCGACACATTTGAAAACATGAGGCTCCACATGCGATGCAGCGTCTCGCATTGAGCAGTACCTCCCTCCCTCACTCACTCACTCACTCACTCCCTCCATTTTCCCTCCCTTTCTTCCTCCTTCCCTCACCTCCTCCTCCTCCTCCTCCTCCAAACGAGGTTCCTTTGCGTCCATTACGCACCCCTCTAACGTCTCCACACTGACATCAAAAGTGTGCATGCGAGACGAGACGAGACGAGGCGAAGCTGTGGCTGTGCTCGCGAGTACCATCGCACACCGCAATGCAACCACCACCACCACCACCACTCATGCAGGCAGTCGAATCAACCAAGCATTGCCAGCTGAACACTTAAATGCAGGCTCGTATCCGCTCCGTTTCGTTGACGATTACCAAAGCTCGACCATGCACCAGTCCACCGTTGCTGTCAGTGTAGGTGAAGTGCGTTTTGTAGCACGATATGAGAAGGCTTTCTCACACTCCACCGCACATCATTGCTGCTCACGGTCCTTACCATCAACCTCTCCTTCCATCTGCTACAGCAACTACCGGTCATTCCACAAGTCCCCTTCTCCTCCTCCTCCTCCTCCTCCTCCAATTCCATCCACCAATGCATCTTGGCAGTCTGCACACTCGGTT